TAAGAAATTACGTAATTTTAACTTTTTTATTTTTTATATCAATTAATGTAAAAAAAAATATCTTAATAAAATTTTAATCGTAATAATACATGGATAATACATAGATAAAAAAAAATTACTGGGGGATAAAAGGTCATTGGTTGTTGGGGGTCGAGCATAGGTGGAGCTGCTGCTGGTGGTGGGGCCAATCTACAAAGTGTCCTTATACGAGTGGTTGTTGAACCAAGAAAAACATAAATTTCATAAAAAGAAAAACATAAATAGCACGGCTTGTGGGCTGTGTGACCCATATCGTCTGCGTTTTAATTTCTTCCTCCTCCAACTCCCGCTCATCCGCCTTTAACCGGAGAAATATGGGTTCAACCGGCGAGACCCAGATGACGCCCACCCAAGTTTCAGACGAGGAAGCCAACCTCTTTGCCATGCAACTGACCAGCGCCTCCGTCCTCCCCATGGTCCTCAAATCCGCAATTGAGCTCGACCTCCTCGAAATCATGGCCAAAGCCGGCCCCGGAGCTTTCCTCTCCCCTAACGAAATCGCTTCCCATCTCCCCACCCTAAACCCCGATGCACCCGTTATGCTGGACCGGATCCTCCGCCTTCTGGCTAGCTACAACGTCCTCACCTGCAGCGCGCACAATCTCCCCGACGGTAAGGTGGAGAGGCTGTACGCTCTGGCTCCCGTTTGCAAATACCTGGCCAAGAATGAGGATGGAGTCTCTATTTCCGCTCTGAGCCTCATGAATCAAGATAAGGTCCTCATGGAAAGCTGGTAAGAACAAATTAATTAGTATATTACAGAATTTAATTATCTTCTTCCCTGGGCCTGGCTTTCTTTTCTAAGATTCTTTCAAAATGGAGAAAGGAGTAATCTTTGGATTAAAAAATCTTTAAGTACAATCAATGTTACCTGCTCCATTTAACTTTAATTTTTTAATTTAAACGTTTGAATTTAGTCGATGAGTTCTGTTTAGAATGTTATTTAAGTTTTTTTCTTTTAAGAAAGATAAATATAATATATGTTAAATGAAAAACTTTATTTAAATAATATTTAATTAAAAATAAATATAAAATTATATTAATATATTTTTA